GCGTGACACCATTCTGCTTTGTACTTTTTTCTGTCAGGCGAAGTCTCGGTAATTTGAGCATATCTCGAGCTAGGAGTGTCCAAATAGCGTGATTCAAGTGGCATTAGAAAGGAAACTCAGAGAGCTACAACGTTCATGAAAACCAGAAAGGCTAGTTCGGACGTTTACAATGTCAAAAATGGTCTAGAAACCAGAGATACTGTGCAAAGATGCTGGTCACGGTGACGGTCACGGTGTGACGTTGACCGTGACCAGCAGAGACCTGTGAAGGTTGGTGTGACCTCCATCGTGACCAGGCATTCTAGAAGCAGTTAAAAGGATGCGATTCCAAAAGTATAAAGTATTTTTAGGCATTATTTTCATCAATCTTTCAATTTCCAATCTCCCTCTACACCTTCTCTCCATCCAAACCCTTTAGAACAAAAAATTCATTGTATTCCATAATCTTTTGGAGAAGATTTAGAGGGAGATTAACGTATGTAATTGCAACTTTCACTTTCAGTTTCAGATTTATGTTCTACAAGTTCTATCAAGTTAAGTTCTCAATTTCTTACTTTTACATTTCACATAATTTGTAGTTTGAATTTATTGTGCATTACTTTAATTGCTTTTAGTTTATCAATTTCATTATGAGTAGTTAAACTAGTTAGGGATTTAGATTGAATTGCTTTGTATGAATGTCAACATGAATTAAATTGGAAAACCTAGGGCTTGCAATATCTTTAGATTGAATTTGATTGTGAATGTGCTAAAATGTTTTGACTCCTCCTTGGTTAGGGCCCAACTTTGTAAGGGGATTTTGGATTTGGTGCTTCACCTATGAAAATAGGGATTCACCATAGCCAAACCTATCACAATTCTAACTCACTCTTGAGAAAGGGGAGTTGGAAGGGATAGAGCACACAAGGTATTTGATTAATTGCCTCATCTAGTTTATTTGCCATGAGAATGGAATTAGAACTTAGGTGATAGCCCAATGACCATGAGAATGGCATCGGCACTTGCTAAACGCCTTCACTTTCATTATTGATCTTTTTTTGCCTTAGAATTTAGAACACTAAGAAGCATTTGTACATTGCTATTTAATCTAAGTCTTCTCTTTTATCCTTGTCTACTACTTAATCATTTAGTTGTTTTAAAATTGTCTCTATGCAAACGATTATTCCATTTTGGTTAGCTTTCAAACACTTAATAATCTTGTGTTTAACCCCTCTCTACTCAATTCCCTTATAGCCATTCTTAGAGGACGACACTCACTAAAACATCACCACTAAAATCAACTTTCAGAAACAATATATTCTATTAGGAATTTTATTACACTATTTTACAATATTAGAATAGGAATTTGAATGTAGAATTGTGGTACGAATAGGAAAGTATGAAATAATATATTCTATTAAGAATTATATTACACTATTTTACGATATATTTTTATAATTTTCAATTTTAATATTGTTGTATTGTATTACGAACATGAATTTTAATGTAGAATTGTAGTACGAATAGGAAAGTAGGAAATAATATATTCGGAATTGTATTATACTATTTTACAATATTAGAATAGGAATTTGAATGTAGAATTGTAGTACGAATAGGAAAGTAGGAAACAATATATTCTATTAGGATTTGTATTACACTATTTTATAATATTAAGCAAACCTTAACAGGGCGTTTGGTTGGAGATGGGGAATTACGTGAAAAAGGAATTGCAATTCCATGGGAGATGAATTACTGGGAATAAAGTGGGAATTTAAATTCTAGTGTTTGGTTTACAAGAATAGAATTACTGGGAATTTGAATTCCAATGTTTGGTATACATGGAAATTGAAAGGGAATAAGTAATATAAAGTCCAAAATGTCCATTGTTATTGTCATGCATTAATTTTAGGTTAAAAAAAGAAGGCATAATTTTGACTTATCACTATATTTTTTTCTTCCTAAAATCCCAGGAATTAAAATCCCAGTGGGACATGGGATTTTAATTCCATGAAAATGGGGGAATTGCAATTCCTTTCAACCAAACAAGGGAATGTTGTGGCCTTTGGAATTAGGTGTGAATTAAGTGGGAAGAAAATTTAAATTCCTTTCAACCAAACGCCCTGTAATAGTATATGACTATTTTGAACGAAAATTAAAATGAAGAATAGAATTTTGTTTTTATTCTTAGTATCGATAGATGACATTTTTATTTAGAAAATGTTTTTTTTTTTTTTTTTTTTTTTTTTTGAGGAAAGACCCGTACTCTACGGGAAAGGAACACTAGAGACTACCACACTCTTTTAGAACTTGCACCGTAGGCGTCAGCTTCCAGCAGATGGTTAAGACTAGACGGTGCGTGGGAGGTCAAGCCACGTTGTCCCCCAACTCGCAGACTGGCCCAGATTCACCAGGTGATTCGCGCACTTATTAACCAATCGTTATACCCTGCACCATGGCACACAGTGCATTGTGCGCCCTGCGCCTCCCAAAATGACGCCGTTTTGTGAGGCGCGGTAGGAAGTTGACATGATTATGTATATTTGTTTATACAATTATGTATATTTTTTATTATGTACATTTTTTTATAAAATTATGTACATTTTTTAATACAATTATGTACATCCAAATCAGGAAATTTTTGTGTATTGTGTTAAGAGTTGATGTGTGTTATGTTAAAAGTTTATGTTTATTATGTATTATGTTAGATTATGCGTATTATATTTTTAAAAAGAGTATGTGTATTTTGTTATATAATTATGTACATTCATGTATACAATTATGTGTATTCTAGTATAACATTATGTACATTTTTGAACATGAGATTTTTTTTAAAAAGAAAATTAACTGTCAAATACTGAGTAGCGAAATTTAAAAAAAAAAAAAAAAAAAAATTGAAACGACGTCGTTTTGCATCTGGGTGCACAATGCAACGCGCGCCGTGGTGCAAGATGTAAATTGCCCTTATTAACCTATACAAATATCAGTTTCTAATGGCAATATTTTACATGACATTATTATAGATTTAAAAAGAAAATTATTTATTTTTATTAACTATTCATAAATTCATAAATTGGTGTACCAGTCAATTACAATTTAGGTAATACTCCTTACCCCAATTTAGGTAATACTCCGTAATTATTATTGAGCAATTTATTTAGGGAATGTCAGAATATAGCACGAATCTCTCTTATTTAGTTATAATATAAATCCCTGTTGATATGGCAATTGTATCAGAAATTAAAATTCCATCATGATGTAACCATAAAGAGTTACAATATATTTTTCATATATTACAAGTTTGACCGTTTGAGATGGTTTGAAACTTATAATTCTTCCAAAAGGCTGAACTCCAACCCTAAGGCCCCACACTCCGGCTCGATAGAGCATTTGGGAGGATGTAAATCATGGTGACTCAACTAAACATGAACCATAGAGGTTAGACTGGTGCTCACTGCGCACAAGGAGCCCCCCTCACTTTGAGGGGTTGCTCCCACACTGCCGCTGGGTTTGAAACTTATAATTTATAAATTATAATGTAGACTAGAGTCCATAATGTGTATTTTGAACTCTGGTACTTAAATAACGTGTAATCTTTTTATTTTCTTGTTTAAAGTAATATTTGTGGTCAAACAGTATGATTGTGACTCTCTCAATAAATAGGAAATCACATGTTCAAACTCTAGTGTGTACAGTGACAGACTATGTGCTACAGGTCATAAGTTCAAACCTTAATTGGGATAATGACTTTTTTGTATTACAGTTATGCCGATTGACCATGTATTGTGCTTGTACAGGGCCAGTCCTAGCTAGGGCGACAACACAAGGCCCCCCAAATTTTGGGGGCCTAATTATTTTTATAAAATATTTTAAATATAATCTATTAATTTTTTATACTTGATATTTTTTTTGACTTCATAGATTGGTCTTAATTGTAATTGAAAATAAAATTTTAAAAGGAATTGTCATCAAAAGTTTGGTGAATAATTGTGTATTAAATATGAACAAAAAGATATTTTTAAATTGTATTCTTTCTTTGTTATTTTTTTTTTTTGAGGGAATAAGATTATTTCTTTGTTAAATTTTTATGCATTATATTTAACAAAAAAATTAGTTACATTTTTATTTTTGTCATAGAATACAATAACTTGAAGTCTAAGTGGATTTGAACTCAATTACTTCAATTTTATTGATTTTAGAGATCTTCTAAACTTTTATCTTCATCTTCTAGAGGTCTTTTGAGATTATATTTGTTACTTTTAAAAATAGAAATCTCTATCATTGTAACGAAATTTAAATATTAAAAAAAATATCTCCCTTCTTATATTCTTATGTCTCTATTATTGTTTTTGTATTTACAATTTAATTATTACTCTATTATATTACATCTCGAAATAAATTAAATTATTAGATTATTAGATATGACCCTCGAAATAGGCCCTCGACTTTAGTTTAAAAGTCAATTAGGCTCCTAAACTTTTTAAATGTGCAATTACACTCATCAACAATTCATTTAAGTGCAATGAAGCCCAAAAACAAATTAATGACCTGCTATCACAGGTCATTAGGGTTCAGACCACCTTCCGGCGAAATTTTCGGCAAAAAAAAGTGACCAGCAACCAACCCAGATTTGCCAGAAATTTCGCCGGTAACTTTTTTTGCCGAAAATTGCGCCGGTCACTTTTTTTTTTTGCCGAAAAATTCGCCGAAAGGTGACCTGAACCCTAATGACCTGTGATGGCAGGTCATTAATTTATTTTTGGGCTTCATTGCACTTAAATGAATTGTTGATGTGTGGAATTGCACCTTTAAAAAGTTTAGGGGCCTAATTGACTTTTAAACTAAAGTTCGAGGACCTATTTGACCATTTTTCCTATTTTTAATGGAAGATTGTATAAGGCTTAACGTGGTTTGACTGGCTGCATGCTATGTTTGGATAACAAAGACAATTTGTATTTTACAACCTACCAATTACCAAACATATTCCACAGAAACTGGAAAACCGACCCGATTCATTTTGTATGTGGACGCCACGTCACTCAATTTATGGCAATTGTATTTATCTAATTTTCTTCCGTTACGATTACTTTGTGGCAGCGGGGTACTATATATACACACTCGATCGCATTAACTAACACTGTCAATCTCATCATTATCTTCTCCGACAAAACTGATCTCTCTAATTTCTTGCGATTTCTGTGCAACAATGGCGGAGACCATCCATCAAAACGTCAACGTTTCAAACAAAAGGAGGCCGGGTTCCGAGGAATGGGAGCGCGACGATATGATGAAGGCGAAGAAGGGCGGCAAGCCGGCGGTGCAGATGTGGGAGGACCCGGCGGCGGCGTTGGCCAGCGCCCGCCACGAGTTCGGCGAGCACGGCGGCGTCAACATGTCCATCGAGGCCTCCGCCACCTTCACGGTCATGGAGCCGGAGTCGCTGCGGCGAATGTTCTCCGGGGAGCTGGGACCCGATAACGATTACTTCATCTACAGCCGCCACTTCAACCCCACCGTCCTCAACGTCAGCCGCCTCATGGCCGCCATGGAAGGCACCGAGGCGGCCTACTGTACCGCCTCCGGCATGTCGGCGATCTCGTCGGTCATGTTCCAGCTCCTCAGCTCCGGCGATCACGTGGTGGCGGCGCGTACCCTCTACGGCGGCACCCACGCCCTGCTCACCCATTTCCTCCCCCGCGTCTGCAACATCACCACCACCTTCGTCGACATCCGGGACCTCGCCGCCGTGAAAGACGCCATCGTTGAGGGAAAGACCAAGGTCCTCTACTTCGAAAGCGTCGCCAATCCAACCCTCACCGTCGCTAACATCCCGGAGCTCTCCCGGATAGCCCACGACAAGGGAGCCATGGTGGTCGTCGACAACACCTTCTCTCCGATGGTCCTGTCGCCGGCCAAATTGGGCGCCGACGTCGTGGTTCACAGCGTCTCCAAGTTCATCAGTGGCGGGGCCGACATCATCGCAGGTACATCATTAAACTCGTGTCTTCTTTCCACGCTTTTCATTCGTACCCACGTGTCCTTTCGCTACTCTTTCGTCCTTATTATCCAGTATTAATTCCGTCTTGTTCGATTAACCCAATTATTTAATTTAGTATTAAATTTATATATTAAAAAATTATTAAATATAAGTAAAAAAAAAAAAAAAGTATAAATGGTTAGTTAAGGAATTTGGTTGGGGTGAGTGACCTTGTACTTAATTTGAATAGGTTTAAAGGTGCCTCCTATAATTAGGGTGTTTCTCATGATTAGTTTAGCTAATTAAGTAAAATGAGATAGAAGAATAATTAATTATTAAAGTAGAATAACGGTCAAGAAAAATAACAATTTATGTTATTTCTTAAAAAGAAAAAAGTAGAGAGAGAGGAGACAATGATTATTATATAAGCAAGCATGAAGTTGAGATAAAAGTGTAAATTACATGTGATCTGTCACAAAAAGTCCAAAAGCCTTCACATGATACTGCAACGCATTTCGTCGCTATACTACATAAGTTGCAACATGTGGCACCCAAAGTAGGGACCTTCAACTCTGCTACATTTGGTTCACAGATGGAGACTGTACACCTATGGGTATCTTCACATGGCTCCACTGGAATATCTTGAAATTGTTTCAAAAATACGTTTAAATTTCAAACTCCAAATTAGGTAAATTGTAGGATGTATTTCAGTGATACATTAATTTAAATGCTTACTTATTTTTTATGGATCCGAATTCGGGTATTTGTTAGCGATCACGGTTACATTCAGGTCCCTAACAGATACCCGAATTCGGTTATGTGTAAGGTATAGGTTGAGAAAGAGTGAAAGGGTTGGAAAAGTAATGAGAGTGTGTATGGGTTACATTTGGTTCAATGGATGCAGATTTGTCGTTAACGTGTTAGTTGGGGCCTAGTCCTGTGGAATATACTATATTATATTATAAACCCATGCTTTATTAATTTTTTTTTTTTATTATTTGGGGGAACTGTAGCAGATCAGACATACTCCCTAGTCCCTACTATTTGTGCTTTTCGATTTGAAACACGTGTCCATCCTTATCACAGATTCATGCTCCACTATTTTAGTATGGAATATTTTATGATCTTGGTATGATTCGGAGTATATCTTATTGAGATTCCACACCCAGATTTCCCTCACTTTATTTTATCCTCGATTTACATTTGGACACGATAAAATATCGAAATCAATTATGATAAGGTTTAATTAGGACCCACCATTGTTTAGTAGTCGAAACAAAAGGTAAACACTTACTGACATATATCTCACAATTTACCTTCTCTCTTATAGTCTTTAAGGTGATAGACGTTTAACTATAGGGTTCAAACTTGTGCTAAAGTTTTATTGTTAATTTCATCTCCTTTTTTAAAAGAAAAACAAATCATTTATCATGTGTAGCTTTCTCTATATTATTTTACTTTTCATTCCCAATTACTCCGTATAATATTATTTTTTACTTTTAAAATTTTTTTTATTTTTAATTTATTTAAATTATCTAAAAAGTTGCAAATGCTATTTAACAAAAAATTGTGGCAAATTATTGGGTGGACGATGGTTCATACAGTGTTGTGTGCACCATAATAAAAAGTACATTATTTGTACGTGTACTGAATATACAAATAATATATTTTTACAATGTACATTTTTATTATTATATTAATAGTACATTATTTGTGTAGTGAATGTACAAATAATATACATTTCCTGAATAAAATGTACATTTTTAATATATTAATAGTACATTATTTGTGTCGTGATCATACATTAGTGTAATGATTGCAAAATTGTGTAAGAGTATTAATTGTTGTTGTGTGTTGTTAGGAGCGGTGTGTGGACCAGCAAGCGTTGTGAACGCAATGATGGACCTGTGTGATGGGCCGCTAATGCTATTGGGTCCAACGATGAACGCGAAGGTGGCGTTTGAGCTTTCAGAACGGATTCCCCATTTGGGGCTGAGAATGAAGGAGCACTGCAACCGGGCGATGCAGTTCGCGACGAGGCTGAAGAAGGTGGGGATAAGAGTGATCTACCCGGGGCTGGAAGAGCACCCGGATCACGCCCTCTTCAAGTCCATGGCCAACAAGGGCTACGGCTTCGGCGGCCTCATCGGCGTCGACATGGAGACGGAGGACCGGGCCAACCGCTTCATGAACCTGCTGCAAAACCACACACAGTTCGGGTTCATCGCCGTCAGCTTGGGCTACTACGAGACCCTCATGTCCTGCTCCGGCAGCAGCACCAGCAGCGAGATGAACACCGAGGCCAAGGAGCTCGCCGGAATCTCTCCCGGACTGATCAGAATGTCGGTTGGGTATACCGGGACCTTGGAGCAGAAATGGGGCCAGCTGGAGAAGGCACTCTCAAGAATGCAGCAGGATTCTTCTGCTGGCTTGTTCCAGAAGAGTTGAATGTTATTAGTTTCTACCTATTGCATGTGTTTCCTTAATCCTTAAGAACTTTTATGGTACGTACTGGTTGGTTTGGTTTGATATATGGATGGTCCAATGAGGGAGAACGAACAATTAAATCATTATCATATCCCTTTAGGAATGTGTATGCAACGCAAGCCAAGTCAATAAACTCTGCTCTGCTGCTTAGTTTTAATTTGAGTTGTATGTATGTATGACATCATGCATGCAGCTGTGTGTTGATAAGATAGAGTTAAGCAGCTAAGTGTTGTTGTTGTCTTGTTGGATCATCACCATAGTTTTTATGGACAATGCATGTGTTGATTGTTGAACCATATTTTATTGATGATAATGTCAAGCTTCTGTTTGATTTGTTTGGTGAAATGAATGTGCTCATTGCATCAACCTAACTCCTCCAAGTATTAATTATTTAAAAATTAATAACATTTGATCCTAAGTGGCAAAGGATTTCAAAGAGGTAAATTAATTTAAGTTGCTCGTATGTAATTGATCGACTCATCAATCTAAAATGGTTATAAACTCTCCATAGGAATCAATAATTTTATTAGACAAGTAAACTATAAGGGGGTGTTTGGTTGGATGGAAAACATTTTCCATGGAAAATGTTTTCCTAAAAGTGAAGGAAAATGATGTTTTATGTTGTTTGGTTGGACGGAAAACATTTTCCATTAGAAAAAGTTTTCCTCGAGAATGAGGAAAACAAATTCCTAGCTCATGTTAGGTATTTTGTTTTCCATGGAAAAGGTTTTCCATGGAAAACTAACGGCTCGTTTCACTGCTGGAAATTTGTCATTTTCCGACCACCGAAAAGTGGTCGGAAACAGCCTTAATTAGGTCGGAAACGCCTGTTCCGACCTCTTTTCCGACCAATTTGGGTATTCGGAAAAATTCCCCTAGCTATTTCCAACCACCAGAGAGAGTGGTCGGAAAGAGTAACCACTTTTCTAAGGGCGTCGGAAAAAATGGCCAACAGAATAGTTAGGTGCGTCCAGATTTTTCGACCACTTTGGTGGTCGGAAATCTGGACACAGTCAATAAAAAAAATTCATTTCACTACAGAGGAATCCTCTGTAATGAAATGAATATGTATATATATATATATATATATATATTATTTGGTGAAAAACATAAAATACACATTTCATATGCTTGAAGATAATTCATTCATCAATATACAATTGAAAATTTAAAACAAGTCAAAATATGGCATTTCTATTAGTCTCTTAAGTCTAAATGTATAAACAGGAAAGACAGAAGTTCCCAGGACACATTTGCAGTATGGAAGCAGCTTGTTCCATCATCAGTGTTTCCATTGTCCTTCTGCAGATTTGGCATTTTCACTATTAGGCAGCTGAAAGAAGCAGAAATATATAAACAAGCTAGCTTTATCATTTTCATCTCAGTTTTGAATTGCACTCATGGTTAGAGCTCTCTTAAATGGAGTAATGCAGTTCAACATCATTGCCTCATTTGTTAAACACATGGAATCAACCAACTCATTCAGACATAACAAAGCTTTAGCTTTTACCCAAATTTAAAAATACTAATTTCAGGAGAATAAATTAATAAATTGTTAACTATTGGTCTATTCTTAAGTGTTACTACAAATGAGTTATAAGCATCTATATAAAGTTCTAAACCATAAATGGCTAATAACTATTAAAGTCTTGGACAACAAAAACTCCAAATAAAAGTACTATTATCAAGGTCAAATGAAAGCAATTTCTCAAGTATAAACAAAAGGCAATTGTAACTCAAACCTTGGACATGGTATGCTAAATAAGATTTATTCAAAACTCATGTACCATGGAGTAGTAGGTTACCTTAGTCAAGCCTTTGATTGATTCATCTGTCTCTTCAAATAAGAACCTCTTCAAGACATTATGTACAAAGCTATCAAAGATTATAAACACTGGTTATGCAAGAGAATTAGCAATAAAAGCAATACACAAGATTCCATTATGAGAAGTTGGAATTGAGCTATATAATCCTTACGAGGAAGGCCTCCCACTCTCAAGTTGTAGAGTAACAACAGTTCTCCATGGAAGTGAGAAGTGACCGAATCTTGATCCCTCATTTTCTGTCTTGCTTCCCTTCCTCCAATTCAGCTTACCTTAGATATCTTTTGTGCTACTTTCTTCTTTCTTCTCATATGTTTTTACTACTTGCCTCCTGCTTATCTGTCAGTGATCTTTGTTTTGTTAAAGAGAAGGGAGGATAGGAATCCTGCAGACAGTCACAGATTTCCTCATTATTATAAGTAAACAGTAAAATCCGATAGCAGTAGCTCTCCGAAGCTCCATGGAAACTATCACTTGGAAGTTTAATGTACCTTTGTTATTTGTTGCGCCACTTTTGTCACTTGTTGCACTTCCTCTGTCTTCACATCTTCATGAACTTGGTATCCGTTTTCAATTTGCTAGTTGTATAGAAGTTTTACATTCAACACTACTCAGAAAGAAATAAATATCGGCATGTTGTTACCTTTAATGCTGAATCTGCTTGGTCTGAGTTTGCTACATGCTCTACAACTACTCTTTGAGTGCGGAGAAGCAAATATGCACACCAAATGTGTAATTAGTTGTATTTCACAAGACCTGGCACTGTAAAATGACAGAAAATCTAGGGAAGGGAAAGGTGTTAAACAGAATAAAAGGAGAATTCTTTCATTAGGGCAAAAATGTATGAATAATAAGTTCATAATTTGTTCACATAGCATAAATAATACATCCACTTTTATTCCTACAGTCCCTCTTTTGGTGAGACTTTATAGAAATTTTAAAATAAATACACCCACTTTTTGTCTTAAAAAAAAAAAGGAAGCAATGTTCTTTTTCTAAGTTGAAACATAAGAAAATTAATCGAAGAATTGTTTTAGAGAGTGAGCAACAACAAATTTTTTACATTGGAAGTAAGAACACAGAAAGAATGACAGCAGATGAATGCTTAACAACTAGTTTATAAAATGAAAAATGTAAAATGGTTAAGTTAGTCATTTCATCCCATTGCCACAATGTAAGCATTGCTCTTCAATGTATGTATAGCCAACAAAAGATCATGAGTTATACCTGCTACACCTATAAAACATAACTAGTCCAGAAGTTGCAACGAAAACACCCAACCATGCAAATAAAGCACCGCTAGCAGTTAATTTTGGTAGAGTAGGAGCTGTGAATCAAACATAGTTGTAAATATTGAATTTAATCACATGTCAAAGTAATTAATTAGTTTTAATAAAAACAAAAACAAGAAAAAGTTTGCATGAAAAGTTACCCATGATGACTGAATGGATATATGTTACAAGTAGTAGAAAAATTATACACCATAGTATAGGAGCAAAGCCTAGTTTTGAAATTTTCCCAAGCCGGCTGTTCCCATCACAACGTTTTTCAAACATCTTTCTAGCATTTCCCTGCAGAACCACATTTGTCCAAGAAACATTTAGGATCTTTGTTAGAAAGTTGTGCCACGAAGAATCACATCCACTCCAAACTATCTCATCTTATAACCAAACATCGAAACAAACTTACAATAAGCTGAGAGTGTGAAACAATTTGCAAAATAATAATGATGAAGTAGAAAATGATGATGATGATGATGATAATAGCAACAACAACAATAATAATAATAATAATAAAATGAATTTAAGCTATCAATTATTAGAACATAAGTCAAAGTAAAAAGATTTGGTTTGCTAGAATCAGATCATGAATAAGGGATGTCGGAATGTGTAAGTAAGAACTGACAGAAATTGATCTTTATAGGCATTAGTATATTGTAAGTTAAGTGCATAATAATTTTTACCATCTGCTTATGAACATTGTACATTTATAAAGTTGCTGATAAGTAATGAAATAGAATGAAAAAAAAAATTGTGGGAGAAAAAGTCTAGCAGGTGAAGACAAACTCAATTGGAGCTGATACAAACTGGGAAAGCTTGAAATCAGGAACAAAGAAATGATATTGGGGTAGCCAGATGTTTTTATTGTAGCCAGGTGATCTCTTTCTCCGCTTATCTGTAAAATGGCCAGATGTTTTTATGGTAGCCAAGCAATCTTTAACTATAATCTTGGGGTTGTACTGGTTTGTAGACTAGTAAAAAAATACAATAAAATTATATTTTTAAATAAAAAATACTTGCAAGAAAAAGAAAAAAAAAATTACTGAGATTATAGATAACCACAATTCAGTTCATATTGAGTCGGAATCAAAATCAGAACACAAGGGTTATCTAGCTCCTATGTCTCCTCATAGTACTGGTTAACTAATAAATCAATAATGACAATGAGCCTCTAAAATTAGGTGACCTAAAGGAGATGCTAGTATTCTAGCCAAGAAATGCTGCTTAGACCTCACAAACCAAAAATTTGACTAAACAAAACACAAATAAGATGGTTAAATAACTAATTTCAAAGCTGTGGAAGTAACTACTATGTAAGATTAACATACAAGCAACAGACCACCGAACCCTGCAACCAAGCAACCCTAAACCACTGACCAAGCAAAACTAAAGGAGGAAGGAGCAGAAGAACTGTAAACTCAGTGAAGATTTTGGACAAAAGTTCATATAACATAAACAAACAACTAGAGAAGTAAAATTTCTGCAGAACAAAGTAAATAAATTCAAATCTTAAATAAAGCAGTAAGCTAAATAAGTTCAGACAGATAATCGGTATAAAATTTCAATCCTAAAAGAAATCTAGACAAAATCAGTTCAGAGAAGTGAAATGGATGTGAGTATGCAACAGATCAGCGAATAAATCAATAAGACAGTAGAAATGCCTAACCTTCTCCATTCCCTGAGAGCAAATCCCTCCTCTTGCATTTTCGATGGCGGCGGCAGAACTGGTGCATTAGACGTCGCAAAAGCATCTACGAACGGCTTCTCATCTTTCGGATCGGAGGAGCCTTCAGAAGCGTAGATTGGCGACGAAACAAAGATCGGCTCGTCAGCAGACGGATTCAGGAAACCATCGTCGAATGGAGGATTCGAAGCGTTGGACTGAGAACAGCTGAGGGGCAAAGGGAGAAGACTGAGCAATGAACAGAGCTGAGCAGCGATGGTAGTCTAGGCGAGAGACTCAGAGACAGTTGCGAGAGCTTTTTTAGGAGAGGAGTAAGAACAGCTGAGGGGCGGAAATGAAATGAAATCAGGGTTAAGTCTTAAGGGTCTCAAACTCTAACTTTACCAATATATACAATAAATAATTTCTATTTTTTTAAGCATTTCCGACCACAAATTAGAAGGTGGTCGGAAATTCCAACCTTTTTCTGCCCAGTCCACTCTTTCGACGGAAAATTAAAATAATTTTACTTTTTGTGACCATTTTTTGAGTGGTCGGAAAAGTGGTCAGAAAATTGTTAATTTCCAGCCGTGTTTGGTTCACTGGAAAATATTTGAAGGGAAATGGAATTGAAATTTCATGGAAAATAGATTCCAAGAAAATAGATTCCATTGTTTGGTTGGTGGAAAAGAAATTACTGGGAATATGAATTCCATTGTTTGGTTGAGTTTGGAATGGTAAGGAATAATGTGTATAATGACAAATATAACCCTACACAACAATAATATAATAATAATAATAATAAGAGTAATTAATAAAGAATGGTGAGGGTAAAATTGTCATATTAGTTTTCCATGGAAAACAAAATACCTAACAAGAGCTAGGAATTTGTTTTCCTCACTCTCAAGGAAAACTTTTTCCAATGGAAAATGTTTTCCATCCAACCAAACAACATAAAACATCATTTTCCTTCACTTTTAGGAAAACATTTTCCATGGAAAATGTTTTCCATCCAACCAAACACCCCCTAATATGACGCTTTTACCCTCACCATTCTTTATTAATTACTCTTACAGGGCGTTTGGTTGGAGGGATTTTAAATTCCCTTCCCACTTAATTCCCACCTAATTCCAAAGGCTGTTAAATTCCGTAGTTTGGTTAGAGGGAATTCCAATTCCCCCATTTTCATGGAATTAAAATCCCATGGGCCCCCCTGGGATTTTAGGAAGAAAAAAAATACTGATGAGAGAAAATTACCTTTCTCTTTTTTAACCTAAAATGAATGTCTGATCTTTCCTTTTAACAACAACAATGAGCACTTTGGACTTTATACTATTTATTCCCTTTCAATTCACATGCATACCAAACATTGGAATTGAAATTCCCAGTAATTTTATTCCTGTCAACCAAACACTGTAATTTAAATTCCTACTTTATTCCTAGTAATTCAACTCCCATAGAATTACAATTCTTTTACCGCATAATTCCCCACCTCTAACCAAACGCCCTGCTATTATTATTATTATTGTTGTGTAGGGTTATATTTGTCATTATACACATTATTCCTTACCATTCCAAACTCAACCAAATAATGGAATTCATATTTCCAGTAATTTCTTTTCCACCAACCAAACAATTGAATCTATTTTCTTGAAATTTATTTTCCATAGAATTTCAATTCCATTTCCCTTCAAATATTTTTCAGCGAACCAAACGAGTAATAATAGTGATTAAATATTGTCTTGGGTTTTGTAACAATGGATCGGAGTGGTCGGAAACCTAAGCACTTGTTTGTTTAGGTAATTATCCTCCAATAAACAAATTAAAAGGAACACCGTACGAGGGGTATTTTTGGACTGAGTTGAACCACAAAATTTCACTATTCTTGTTGAAATGTTACATGTCACCTAAGGGGCGGAGCAATTAGCACAGTGGGCTTCTAAGAAGTCATTTAATAGAGTTTTTCTCATCTTTTTGAGAAAGATAGAAGCCCTGTTTGGTGAATGGTTGTTAGCTGATTGGGTTAGAGGGTATAATTAGTTTATAACATTAGCTGATTGTAGAAAATTGTTTGGTAAATGAGTTGTTAATTAACTGCTATTTTGTATAATTTCTTTTCTTAAAAGACTAGTTGAAAAAGTTATTTTGAGTATGTTTTTAAATTTTAGCATTTTGGAGCTAAGTTATAAAAAACGATTAACTAAACGTTTATATTAATTTTTTAACTAAATTAAACAACTAATAGTGATCAAATAAGTTAAAATTGACTTAGAAGTTAACTATTTTATCAAACAAGACCAGAATCCCCGCAAAGGTGTGGAAGGAGCTGAAAAGAAAGAAGAGAGGGGATCTAAAATTACATGACCCCTACCTTTTTGCTTGTTATCTTGGGGGCCTTTATGCAGTGTCTTGCTGGTGATTTTAGCATGCGCTTTTCAAAGAGGAATCTAGGCTAGCATGATGAGTCTTAAAGAGGAGTCTGAACTAATCAATTCTTATTGCGTGAACCATGGTCTAAAATAACGCTGTTTTCCTAATTAAGAAGAAATAACATCGTTAACGATGAGAAAAATTTTGCGACATGCATCACAATTTTTTTAATATAAAAAGCAAAGAACCGACCTTTACTATTCACACGACCTGCAAATCCACTGCTGCAACAAAGACGACCTGCATTTCTAAATCAATTACTGCACCCACAAAAGCTTCTTAAGGTAATAATCTCACCATTCTACACACATTCATTGCGATTAGGATTCTAACAACATGCATAAAGTACATCTTCTACATAGGGTTTAGACCCGTTCCTAGAAATTATTCAAACAGAAATCTATACATAAGGTACATGTTGCAATTATGTAATCAAATAACATACATATATAAACTAAAGGTCTGAAACTAAGTAATAGAGATAGTGTACGTCATGTTTTTATTATGCGTGTGTATAAAGTACATTATTTGTGTGCATAAGGGTCACTATTTGATGATATACAAACTGATTGAATGTACATTATTTATATGAATAAAGTACAATATTTTTATGCATAATGTACATTATTTGACTATGTGTGTTATTATTTAAACATACAAATTTCAATCTCATTTATGTTTTGCATTCAATTCATTATTTATCGAATATGTTATTTCTTTGTAGAGCATAACTGGTTTTATCCGACACATCCTACCCTCTCTACTTAGAAATATGATATTCACTAAAAATATTCTGAATGTGTTATGTTACTAATATGTTAATTGCAGAAAAAAATGTCTACAAATGATGACATTGATCTTACCGTAAAAGAAGTCAAGAAAACACACACATACACACACACACACACACACACACACACACACACACACACACACACACACACACACACACACACACACACACACACACACACACACACATATATATATATATATATATATATATATATATATATATATATATATATATAAGGAAGAACCGAGGAAAAGATCAAGAAGAATAGTGCAAACTAAAGATGAAGGCACATCATGTCATGCTAGAGAGATCTGTAAGTCATTTAATGATTGATCAGTGCAATGCAAGTTCAATCCCTATGTTTATTGCGAAGATTGGTAAGTCATTTAATGATTAATATAAAAATAAAGTTTAAAGTTTAAGCACAATATGAATATTTAGTTTTTTGTTCTCGGATAGAAATAGGAGCTAGGAGAGAAGCTGTCACATGCACAGTTGTTTCAAGCAAAACATAAACACAAAAAGACTAATGAGTTTGTGAGCAAAAAAGCTCAACAAGTAAGTCTAAATACCTTATATATTATAAGTCTAAAAAAAATGTCTTTCAATATAGGAAACTATAATTCAAATACAACAAACACTACAAAAAAACACGGGAATAGCGACGGATGAATTCCGTCGCTAAATAGTGAAAATCCGTCGCTAAAGTGTTTAGCGACGGATTAGCAACGGAATTCGTCCGTCACAAAAACCCTCGTCGCTAGAATCTAGCGACACAATTTATTTCCGTCGCTAACTTTAGCGACGGAATTTTCCGTCGCAAAATTAAAAATATTCGTTTCTAAATTTCTTACGACGACGGATTTGAAGACAAAATTTGTGAGCGAATAACGACGAAATTTCTGTCGCTATATCTAGCGACGGAAATTCCGTCGCTAAAACAACAAAATATCCGTCGTTAATTTCATAGTACAACGATCTGGCGACGAGATTTGCAACGGCATAGCGACGGAGTTTTCCGTCACTAAACACACCCGGACATTTCCGTCGCTAGTGTCCGTCATTACACGTAATACAGCGACAGACATTTCTGTCGCTAGTGTCCGTCATTACTACAGATTTTTCCGTCGCTATTTCGTTGCCTTACTACAATATTTGTCCGTTGCTAAATTCTAAAAACTAATAAAATAAATGTACCCAGCAATTAATATCACAAACCTGCATTAAGCCTATAATATAGTACTTGAATAATATAATTGTAAAATATATTATATTAAAGCATTCAAACTCAATTACAATAACAAAAGTATAGCAGTATAATGTTACATCGTTAGAAACAATACCAAATATATTAATAAACATAATCTAATCATCTCCTAAATTTTCATCATTTGAATTAGCAGAATTTTCAGCTTGAGTACTTGGAGTGGATAGCATGCCGTTTGCGACGCAAGTGATCCATCAAACTTGCAATCTGAACTTGCATTTGAGCATGAATCTAAGCTTGCATTTGAGCCTGCATTTAGGCCTCTGCATTTAAGTTCTTTCAGCTTGTAGTTTAGCTTCCATCCGAGCCTCCATCTCAACTCGGAGGTGCAGACGATGATGGGTTAGAACTCGGAGGTGTAATCGATGCACCTCGTCCAAGTCCTCTTATGCGTCCAGCTCTACTACCACCTCGTGTCATCTAAAATAAAATATAATAAAGTTAAGCTATCAACAAGTTGTGTATAAATCAACAATTGGGTTTCAAAATGAATAAATTAAAGATAGAAAAACTAATCAAATATTGTTTAGTAAGTAGTGATGACTACTTGTGCAGCTTCAAGGTTAAAGGTTCTTTCTACATATTCAATTTTGCTTTGTTTCATATGCTGTTTGGTAAGGAATTATTAAAGTACACAAGGTTCCAAGTGCAAATAAATTAGAAGGGAAAGCTGAAAAATAACCTAAAATGCTTTTTTAAAAGTCAAAAGCAGTACAGAATTAATGTTTTTAAGCTGCAAAAATAACCTGAAATCTTTTACATTAAACTGTGGCATCTTAAACAATTAATGATTTTTAAAAGGTCAAAATCTTCAGATATAAAAGAAACCGCCAGTACAATCCTAAAACTTTGAGAATAAAAACATGAATGAACAAAAAGGGATTTTGACAAAATTAATGTAATGATCAGTGAATAATCAAAATTAGTGAACCTGTTTTACATATAAAAAAATCAATGAACCAAAAAAAACTGTGGCATCCTAACCAACAGAAACAGGTGAATAATCAAAATCAGTGAACCAAAAAAAAAAAAAAAAAAAACAAGAACTTTAGTAGTATTTAAGCAATAATCCCAATCAATTATTCCTTTTTTCATTAATATCTAAAAGTGGCATGTACCTAATGTTTTCTTGCTTATTTACAAACTGTGACTACAGGAAAGAGCAAGCTGAGACTGATTCTAATCACTGGTTCTAATCACAAATAGCTAATGTGCTTATTTTGGTTAGAGTATACATGGTTTAGAAAAATTAACATGAGACATGCAAATAACCCTAAAATATAATGCCATTCTCTTTGAGTTTAGAAAAATAAGCTAATACATGTGTTTATTTTGGTTGGAGTATACATGGTTTAGAAAAATTAACAATACATGTGTTTATATCCTGAGTTTAGAAAAATTAGCAAAACTTTCATTCTCTTTGATGATATTGGTATTTTGGTAACCTTTTTTCTTAGTCTTCTTAGGCTAAAATCAGTTTATACATAAATCAAGAAAACACCCAAAATTCTGCATTCCCACAAACAAAATGTACACAGAAACATGAAAAATGAAAACAGAAACATGAAAAGAAAATAGGAAATTCACAGTGAATTAGTATGTTGTGAATGTAGGTAAAAATTTTGAGTTTTGATCTCCTTCTCTATTATTGTTAATATATATATTTACCTTTGATATTAAAAAAAGTAAAACAAAACAGTTATTGAATTGCCTTGTACAAAAAATCCATTGACTTGTCAATTTCTTCTTTGAATATGAGTTACATAGTTCTTCAATAATGCTGGTTTTGAGGAATAAGGATTACTTCATTATTATCAAAGAATGTGGATAATATATACACTTGTTTAGTATATGAGTGCTCCTTTGGTGATAGTTGTACTTAATGTTTAGTAAACATAAATGGTCGCAATCTTGTCTGTTGAACCACTACTTACCCCCTTTGTTTATACCGTACCTATCATACATACATATATTTTGGCTTCATTCAGCAACCTCAAGCATGCAATTAACACATACAGTGAATACAAACAGATTAACAAATTAACACAACCTTATCTCAGCAGATTAACAGTGAATGCACACAAATACAGAAACGCATAAACACTCAAATCAACGCATAAACACACATACAGAAACACAAACACTCGCTGCCAACCACAAACACTCAACTCAAAAAATTCAATAAGCACAAAATACAAGCCATAAACGAATACATACCAGAGAATAGAGTAGCAGAGTAGGCGGCAGGGGAAGCGACGGTCGGCGGAGAAGCAGCGCCGTCGGCGATGGGCGTCAGGGTAGGCAGCGCAGTCGTCGTCGGAGGCAGCGCAGTCTAGATAGGGAAGAGAGACGCGAGTCGGAGAAGAAGAAAGAAGTCTAGTTAGGGTTAGGAGAAAATGTTCAGCTTTGTTCGTTTTAGTGAACTTGGCCTACGTTTTAAATTTGTGATACATAGCGACGGAATCCATAATCCGTAGCTACAATTTAAAAAATAAAATAAAATTGGTCTCACCTAAGTAGTGACGGACGGATATCCGTCGCTAACGTATAAGTATAATCCCGCCTCCAAATTTAGCAACGGATGTAAAATCCGTCGCTACTTAATATATGTTAAAAATCAAATATGCAAGCTTAGCGACGGAATTTCAATTCCGTCGTTAAAATGATTTAAAAAATTCTTACCACTTCATAAATGTAGCGACGGATGATAAATCCGTCGCTATATAGCATATGTTAAAAATCCGATATGTAAGCTTAGCGACGGAATTGAATTCCGTCGTTAAAATGTTTTAAAAAATTCTTCCCGCTACATAAATATAGCGACGGATGTTCAAATCCGTCGCTAGATAGCGACGGATTCAACTATCCGTCGCTACAATGTAAACAAAACACATTTATACTTTAATATCTAGCGACGGATGCTTATATCCGTCGCTAGGTTGTAGCAATTAAAATAATGAAATCAGCTCGCAAAAGAACCGTCGCAAATCCGTCGCTAATTTGTTTCTAATTTTCGCACCAAAGTTTACCGCGAAAATTAGCTACGTATTTAACGACGGAAATATTCCGTTGCAAACTCCGTCGTTAAGCCGTCGCTAATCCATCGCTAAATTTTCATTTAACAAAAAAATTGAAATCTGTCACTAATTTGTCGCTATTCCGTCTCTAAATTAGCAACGGAACACGTCCGTCGCTAAAGCCATCGCTATTTTCGCGTTTTTTTGTAGTGAAACTCAACCAGAAGTTGGAGATGCAATTGCATGGTATGAGGCAACTAGTGGTCTCAAGAAAGGAGAGTGTGTGTTTGAATTTGGATAAGATACCCAACACTACTTCTGTAACACCCCCGATTTTTACCAACATTTTTAAACTTAGATTCAAAGGTAAACAGCTAATCATCAAGACAAACATTAAGCGGAAGCTAAACAAAATTGGAGAGATATTATGCCACACCCATACACCATGGGTGCACAGGCTAAAAGCTATCAAAATCATCAAACATCATAAGTCTAGGCACACAGGCCTCTGGTCTAGGCACACAGGCCACTAATCTAGGCACACAGGCCAACAAAAAGTTAAACGTCTAGCATGAGATCTATACTATCTAGAGTCCACATCTAGCGCGCTCGGCATCTACTCAAGACCTGTAAAACATGAGAATAACACTCGGTCAGCGAATAATATTGGTAACCCATCAACGCGTTAAATAGCATAGTATAGATAGATATAATCAAAACCATTTGAAACTGAAGAATACTATACACACACACACACACACACACACACACACACACACACACACACACACACACACACACACACACACACACACATATATATATATATATATATATATATATATATATATATATATATATATATATATATATATATATATATATATATATAATTTTAAAATCAAGGAAGGAAGTGTCAACATCAAAGACCATCACACTCTTAATAAAAACGAGGATCATCAACCTCACAACAACAACAACAAGACCGCAAACATAATAGACATCACAACTCAGGATGCATCCTACCATTCACAAGGTAGAATACAACAAGACATGCTCATAAGCAAGGGAATCATACAATCACACAATGACATAATCATGTCACAAGATTCATGGAACCCAGTTCCTACTTTCAACTTCCAACCTTATGCCCTGTTCCAACCTTATGGTTACCCCCGGCCTTATCACAGCTCCAACCGTTACCTCCTAGTGCCACCCTGTACTTCTGAGTCCTACCTTTTACCTCCAGGGACCGTCGCCCCCCCTCCTACACCGCCAAACATCACCACCGATCTCTTAGTACACGAGGGTACCATTAAATATCATAATCACAAAACCGCCGATCTCGTGAGCAGAGCTCAAGTAACAAAACCACCAATCTCAATCATAGTCACACATAGTCATCATCATTTCCAAGAAGACTAAGGCTCAACAATAGCCCCAATCAAGTATTAACAAAAGGGTACAACGATTTGCATATGATCACACCATAAGAATCAATCAAGAGATCACAATAAAGACATGAGACCATACTCAACAACAAAGGATTACAATCCAACATCAAATGATTGTCAACACAAGTTGTCAATCCCAATAAGAAGGAACAAACCACACATACTAGCATAACAACATCAAACTTGCATGCTTATCAAACGGGTAAACCAAAAGTAGTTCCAAAGAACATTCAAGACTCACATTAGCCCAACGAATCACAAAGTTGGACCCTTAGCATGATTCAAGACACCAAATCCTACATGAATTCCTAACACACCGTTCTAGACATACGAAACATCAAGAAGACTCACAAATAGCCCAATCAATCATCAATCACTGCTGGAAATCGCCAATTTCCGACCACTTTGGTGGTCGGAAACAACCAAAATCCGGTCGAAAACCCTTGTTCCGACCACTTTTCTGACTATTTCGGGGATTCGGAAAAACCCCCGTCGGTACTTCCGACCACCACATGAATACATGTCTCTAGCATATTTAATAAACTATTTGTGATATAGTATGAACTTTTTATTAAGTTATAATAATGAATGTTTGTATTATGGGATCAAAACAATACAGAGTACAATATATGATGATATACAATTCATTACGTAAGTTTGATAAAAACAAAGTGATGTGTCATTGATATTAAAGGGCAATCATGGCCACCGCGCGTAGGAGACCGCGTAGCAGTGTTAGAGATGGTTCACTCATACGAAACAATCGCAAAGCCATCATGAATGGACGCCATGAGAAAACCTAGACTACCAATGCCATATAAATGTGTATTATGTGATAAAAATAATACTCAATACAATACATTGTGTAGGATTATGAAACTCAATAGAACTAGAATTGTAGAGTCCTAACAAGAATAAAGGTTTTAAAGAGTTGAAGTTAGAAACTAATTCCATGTATCTATATGGACATGGCGATTTTATTTTTTATAACAAGAATAGTGAGATGGTATCTACTAGTAAAAAAAAAAAAGAGAGTATGTGTGTAATAATCAATGATAAAAAGATAAATCATGTGACATTCATACCATTGAACAAAAAAAAAACAAAAAAAAAAAGAGAGGTTTCTGACCACTTTTACTTGGTCGTCGGAAATACTGACCACAAAGGTGGTCGGAACAAAGAATAATTTTAAAAATTAACTGTCGAAAGATATTTCCGACCACTTTTAGTTTATGGTCGGTATTTCCGACCACCATTTAAATGTGGTCGGAAATTCCGACCACAATCCGACCACTCAAACTCTCGGTCGGAAAAATAGAAAAAAAAATCAACTTTTGCGACTATTTTTTCGGGTGGTCGAAAATGGGGTCGGAAAAACGCGATTTTCCAGCCGTGAACGGGAGGTCAAAACATTAATACCGTGAAGAAAGAATCACGAGGAACAAATTCCCGCACAACGCCAACAATGTATCCCACGGGTGGGCCTCCACCCATGGATCCGCCCGCGAGTACACACCCGAGGCAACCACGTTCTCCGCGGGTGCGGCGGCAGGTAGGCCACTACCCGCCGTTCCGCCCGCGGTGTACAACTTTGTACACCAAAATCCCTTCGGGGATTTTCATCATTAAGGTCAAGTTCAAGTCCAAAACACCCAAAATCTCACACACAACAAAGATATGACTTGAACCAAAGAAATAACCAAGCAATGACATTCAAGAAACCTAAAAACAAGCTCTAAACATGCATCATCACAAGATCATGCATCAAATCTCACAAATCATCACAAGAACAACAAGTAAAGCCAAGAATCATCATTTAAGTAAGAAAATAGGTTTTGTATAGCATGGGTTACCTTTGTAGACCAACAACCACACTTTTTCACCCTCTTAAGCTTCTTCCTAGAGCTCTTCTTCCACACCAACTTCTTACACAAGCCAAAACACAAGAAAAGTTCTAACTTTAGATAAAGACACCCAAAAGATGACTAAAAACACCAAAAAGCTAAGAACCTTACCATTTCCTATGCTCAAGAAGAAGAAAGTAGGAATCTTGGTAAAAGATCTTGCAAGACTTTGAGGTTCACCTTCTTGCTTGAAGAATAAGCTAGGTTATTTTAGAGAGAGGCTAGAGTGTTTGAGTCTTAGGTTGAAAGGATGAACGAAATGAAATGTCTTGTTAGGGTAGCTTGAACCACAATTCATAGATGAAAAGCCATTTTTACCCTTACTAAGGTTGGAAAGATAAAGGAACAAGGGCACAACTCAAGAAGCACAAGGTACACCCATTTGACTTAAAAGACTAGTCAAAATCTAGTCCCTCGACTATCAAATTTCAGGATTTTTAGAAATGGATTAACAAAGAAAGTTTGGATTAATTCTTCAATTAATCGTCGATTAGTGTTTAGATTTATGGGGTGTCATCCTCTCCCCCTAACAAGAAGCTTCGTCCCTGAAGCTTGGGTACGACGGGTTTCAACAAAAGATAGCAACAACTCAAAGATGCGACAAAAGATAACAAGATGTAATTGAACAAGGCTCTAATATCAAAAGATTCAAGGTTTAAGAATCAAGAAATGCAGGGTTTCAAAGTAATGAAGAAAACTTCTCAAGCAGCACCACCACTAACACAACCTTAAGGACAACTATTACCCATCTACACTAATCCTAAGCCAAGAACAAACTAAACTCGAATAGGGCAAAGCAACTAAACAAACAACTCAAACAACCAAGGCAAACAAGAGAGCACAACTAAACAAGCAACAACCACCAAGCCGGCAAACAAACAAACAAGGAAGGAAACGAGCTTACCCCAAACTCTGGCCTATGAGGAATCATCCTCCGAATCCTCGGCATCCTCGTCAGAAGCTTCCTCGGCTCCACCCAGGCTAGAACTAGCTTCCAACCTATCCAGCATTTGGTTTACGGTAACAAACTGAGCCTTCATGAAGGAGAAACCTTCCTCAATCATCCGATTTTGCTGTCGGAGGAGGGCCACCACACGTTCCTCATGAGTCATGGCATCATGCTCTTTCTTAGTCCTCACTTCCTCCCTCCTTAAGCTCTCTTCGCTCTCGGGGTCACTTTCCTCGGTTTCCTCTTCTTCTTCTTCTCCCTCTTCTTCACCTTCATCCTCAGCATCCCCAACCAAACTCTGCACCACCTGATTCAGCTTCCCAACAGGGATCTCTAGCTGCTCAACCAAAGAACTCATCTCGACAGTGGGTTTCCTTGCGACTTCTTCCAGAGTGATGTAGTCACCATCATCCAACTGAAACAGATTGCAACTCCGGAGGTTTGTGGCATCTAAAACCATCTTGCCCACAGGCTTGGGCACACAACCCTCAACATTCACCCCTTTCCTCACGAAAATCCAACTTAAAACCATACCATATGGCAGACTTTTGCGGTTATGGTCCCTACAGTAGCCCATATGTTGCAACATCAAGGAAGGCAAGTTGAACTTCACTTTGTACTTCAGGCAAAAGGCAAAGGTGCATTCCAATTTACCCAACAAGCTACTTTTGTTATTGTTAGGAAACAAACAATAAAAAACAAGCATTACCAAGATATTTTGCTCGGCAGAAAACCATTTTTTTTCTGGCCTCGTGGCCTGAGTAAAGCCACTTGTCCTTCCCAACAAAAAGCTCAAGTAATTCTGATAGCTCATGTTGCTTGTCTCAATCCAAGAGTCACCACTGTAATGTGAGACTCCAGAAGTCGTCAAACTCAAGAGTTGAGCCAACCGTTTCTCAGTCAAGGAAATTTTCATACCTCCCACCTTAGAGGTGATTTCCAACTTTCCCCCATTCTTGGTCACACTCATGTGACGGTAGAATTCTTTCACCAAACTTGGGTAAGTCTCGATCCTAATTGCGAGATACCCATCCAACAAACCTTGATAGTTCAACAACTCCAACATAGAACTAGAAAAAGAATCGGGGTTAAAAGCTTTACCTTCCAAAACCAAGTAATGGGCATCTACCCATTCCACCCTTCTTGCTGTTTTAGACCTTCTAGGCATGATTTGAGATGTCCAAGGTGAGGTAGACCCAAAGCTTCTCTCTTTTCTTCTTTCCTTCTCCTTCTTTTCCTTTCTTCTTTTTCTTCGGCTTCTTCGCGGTTCCGGCAGGCAGCAGCACGGCCACGAGCTTCCGGCGACAGCGGGTGGCTAGAGGTCGACGGGCGGAGGAGATGTGACGGGTAGGGGGGTGGGTTCGGCTGCTACCTTGCGGGTGGAGGAGAAGAAATTGAGGGTTTTGGGGAAAAAATTTGGGAAAAGAAGATTTTAATTTGGGAAATTTTGGGTATGTTAAGGAAAAAGGTAAAAAGGAATTTATGTGGGATAAAGTTTAAGAAACATAATTGGTCTAGATGGTTTAAGGGTTAGTTTGGAAACTAGAAGGCTTAGGTTCAAAACTTGCTAGTTATGAATTAAACTTCCTTTAACTTTTAGGCTTAACGGTTTAGGCTTTGGGTGACAAGAAAGAGTGAGGTCCTAATTAAATGTATATCCATAAAATCTCGGAATTAAAACTAAAGTTAACCACTCAAAAGGGACAATCAAGTCACAAAGGAATAATTTGCTCAAAAAGATAACAAGGAGAATCACACAAAAAAGGTACGGGAATCACACGAAAAAGGTACACTCTCAAGATAAAAGGTAGGCTCAAGAAGAATACCTGTGGACTCCTCCTCCACCAAACCCTTGGCCTCAGCCTGTGACCGGTTCATCACGAACACTCTGCCCGAAGGCTTCGTCCCTCCCGAGCGTCGACCAGAACTCCCTCCTGACGGTCCGCTAGGTCTCGTGCTAGGTGGCAAGGCTCTCTGGTTGGATTGGAGGTGGCACTCAAAAGCTTTGTGGCCCCTTTCCCCGCACTTGTAGCACCAAGCGCACTCCCTTGGCAATCCTTCCCCATGTGGTCCTTCCCACATCTCTTGCATCCAAAAGGCCTCTCTTTTGCTCTACTCTCGACCCGAGTCGATCCTTGAGACGGAGGAGGTGCGGGTCTTGCTCTGAAATCTTGTCTTGGCCTCTTGAAACTGTGAGATCCACTTCCTTCACTTCTCTTCTTGGCGAACTCAAAGGACCCCCTTTGAAGCTGTTGCACTTGATACAGATCTGCTGCACTCAGATAGGCCTCATTAAACGTCCTAGGCTTGCTCACAGTCAAAGCTTTCCGAGCTTCGTTGTTGAGTCCCGCCACATACTTCTCCACCTTAGCCAACTCGGTGGGAACCAACATCCGAGCAAAGCGGGCCAACTCGAGGAAGAGCTTCTGGTATTCCACCACAGTCGACGACCCTTGTTGAAGATGCAAGAACTCTTCGTACATAGCCGTTCTAACGTGGGACGTGTAGAACCTCTCTCTTAACTTATCCTTCAAAGCTGACCAGTCGAAACCAGGTTCTTCTTGGCACACTGGGCCTTCGTGCACCCACCAGAGATCGGCCTCGTGGATAAAGTAGAACGAAGCCAACTCGACGCGGCGATCATCCGGACAACCCACCACAGCGAAGATCTTCTCCAGGGTCCTGATCCACTCTTCAAGCAACATAGGGTCTTCCTCTCCAGCAAAGATGGGCGGCCTATGCCCTGAAACTAAGCGACCCACGTCTCGATTCCCGGCAGGCGGCGGCAGAGGAGGATTGTTGTTGTGCAAGAGGGCGTCGCTCAACGTCTGCATCGTTTGAGTCAGATGTTGCAGGTTATGAGCCAGCTGCTCGATGGTCGGCGTCTTTGGGGTACAGTCACGATGACGAGGCGGAGCCATGGCGAGACTCTACAGAAACAACATGGTTACAACGAGACACAAGGAAACTGCGCACCCTTACCCGGCGTTAAAGACAAGAACGCCAAAACTAAACAAGAACAACAGGATCAACACAACAGACGATAAACAAACTCACAGCTCACCGCGCCTCCTAAAGATCTTAACTCCTAACACTTAGGCAATTAAAGGTCAACTTATGGTCTTAAATCACACATAACTTCTTAAAGACCGACCCTTAACATCCTTGGTCAAATCTAGGCTTTGATACCAACTGTAACACCCCCGATTTTTACCAACATTTTAAAACTTAGATTCAAAGGTAAACAGCTAATCATCAAGACAAACATTAAGCGGAAGCTAAACAAAATCAGAGAGATGTTATGCCACACCCATAAACCATGGGTACACAGGCAAAAAACTATCAAAATCATCAAACATCATAAGTCTAGGCACACAAGCCTCTAGTCTACGCACACATGCCACTAATCTAGGCACACATGCCAACAAAAAGATAAACGTCTAGCATGGGATCTATACTATCTAGAGTCCACATCTAGCGCGCTCGGCATCTACTTAAGACTTGTAAAACATGGGAATAACACCCGGTCAGCGAATAATGCTGGTAACCCATCAATACGCGTTAAATAGCATAGTATAGATAGATATAATCAAAACCATTTGAAACTGAGGAATACCATATATAATCATTTTAAAACCAAGGAAGGAATTCAACATCAAAGACCATCACACTCTCAATAATCACGAGGATCATCAACCTCACAACAACAACAAGACCGCAAACATAATAGACAACACAACTCAGGATGCATCCAACCATTCACAAGGTAGAATACATCAAGACATGCTCATAAGCAAGGGAATCATACAATCACACAATGGCATAATCATGTCACAAGATTCATGGAATCCAGTTCCAACTTCCAACCTCCAACCTTATGGCTACCCCCGGCCTTATCACAGTTCCAACCGTTACCTCCTAGTGCCACCCTGTACTTCTGAGTCCAACCTTTTACCTCCAGGGACCGTCGCCCCGCCACCTACACCGCCGAACATCACCACCGATCTCTCAGTACACGAGGGTACCATTAAATATCATAATCACAAAACCGCCGATTTCGTGAGCAAAGCTCAAGTAACAAAACCACCAATCTCAATCATAGTCACACATAGTCATCATCATTTCCAAGAAGACTAAGGCTCAACAATCGCCCCAATCAAGTATCAACAAAAGTGTACAACGATTTGCATATGATCACACCATAAGAATCAATCAAGAGATCACAATAAAGACATGAGAGCATACTCAACAACAAAGGATTACAATCCAACATCAAATGATTGTCAACACAAGTTGGCTATCCCAATAAGAAGGAACAAACCACACACTAGCAAAACAACATCAAACTTGCATGCTTATCAAACGGGTAAACCAAAAGTAGTTCCAAAGAACATTCAAGACTCACATTAGCCCAACAAATCAAAAAGTTGGACCCTTAGCATGATTCAAAACACCAAATCCTACATGGATTCCTAACACACCGTTCTAGACATACGAAACATCAAGAACACTCACAAATAGCCCAATAAATCAACAACGGGAGGTCAAAACATCAATACCAGGAAGAAAGAATCACGGGGAACAAATCCCCGCACAACGCCAACAATGTACCCCGTGAGTGGGGCCACGGGTGGGCCTCCACCCGTGGTTCCGCTCGCGGGTGCACACCCGAGGCAACCACGTTCCCCGCGGGTAGGCCACTGCACGTCGTTCCGCCCGCGGGGTACAACCTGTACACCAAAATCCCTTCGGGGATTTTCATCACCAAGGTCAAGTTCAAGTCTAAAATATCCAAAATCTCACACACAACAAAGATATGACTTGAACCCAAGAAATAGACAAGCAATGGCATTCAAGAAGCCTAAAAACAAGCTCTAAACATGCATCATCACAAGATCATGCATCAAATCTCACAAATCATCACAAGAATAACAAGTAGAAGCCAAGAATCATTATTTAAGTAAGAAAATAGATTTTGTATAGCATGGGTTACCTTTGTAGACCAACAACCACACTTTTTCACCCTCTTAAGCTTCTTCCTAGAGCTCTTCTTCCACACCAACTTCTTACACAAGCCAAAACTCAAGAAAAGTTCTAACTTTAGATAAAAAAACACCCAAAAGATGACTAAAAACACCAAAAAGATAAGAACCTTACCCTTTCCTATGCTCAAGAAGAAGAAAGTAGGAATCTTGGTAAAAGATCTTGCAAGACTTGGAGGTTCACCTTTTTGCTTGGAGAATAAGCTAGGTTATTTTAGAGAGAGGCTAGTGTTTGAGTCTTACGTTGAAAGGATGAATGAAATGAAATGTCTTGTTAGGGTAGCTTGAACCAAAATTCAGAGATGAAAAGCCATTTTTACCCTTACTAAAGTTGGAAAGATAAGGGAACAAGGGCACAACTCAAGAAGCACAAGGTACACCCATTTGACTTAAGTGACTTGTCAAAATCTAGTCCATCGACTATCAAATTTCAGGATTTTTAGAAATGGATTAGCAAAGAAACTTTTGATTAATTCTTAAATTCATCCTCGATTAGTGTTTATATTTACGGGGCGTCACAACTTCCCCGACGTTGCGAGGCAGAGGAAGTCAAAATTTGGAGAATCATCCTCACATGCAGCTTGTGAGGAAAGAATTAAGCAATTAGAGCAAAACAATGAGGAGATCTTAGAGCAAATTAAGATGATCATGGAGAAAATTCAAAGGATGGAATCAAATTGTGCTTTATTTAGTGCACATCCGGAGTGGTTTCATTCAGTTGATCTTAATTTGCATATAACCAGTAGCAATGAAATCAGTGGTGTTGGGCTAGATAACCTCAACAATCATTGTTAATAGAAAGTGCTACTTGTGAATATAACTGTACGAAATATTTTGAATTGTAGGATTCAAACCTGAGACCTCTCATTTGAAGGTAGATATTAGAATTGAACCTTTATATGTAATTAAAATTGCTATTGCAACGTATAATCCTTTTGGTGATGTTGTATTGCTATGAAACTACTACTTGTGTTAAAAATTGTTATTGCAAGGTGAATAATTTGTATTCCTTCCATCCCATTTTATGTGTCTGGTTCGGCTAAATAGGCTTGACTGAAGTTATTTTTAATTCAATTTTTCATAATATTAAGTTTAGTATTAATATACAAAATTTATATATTTAGAAACTACACTAAAATACTATTAAATACAAAAAATTAAATCTAAAAAAAGTAAAAAAAAAAAAAAATTAATAGTTGGTTTGACCAATGAATAGTAAGTATAACAGATAAAATGAGACAAAGGGAGTATTAAATTAACAGAGCGGTGAAATGAAAAAAAAAATTTACTTAATTATTTTTCGACCACCTGTGGTCGGAAATTCACCTTTTGTAACTTTAGTTGGTGGCCTTATTCTGACCACCCGTGGTTGGAAAATATGCATGCACACTATATTAGTTGTAACCGCCATCTATACTAGTTGGATGTTTTCCCCTCATGCAATGTAACCATTCATTCTCTTTTTCTTTCTGTTCAAGCTTTCTCTATTTCCCGCTTCTTTTCCTTCAATCATGATATGGTATCAGAGCAACGGTGGAGGTCCTATGCCACCGCTGCCTCTAGCGAGGCTAGTCAGGAAGGACAGACGGGAGCTCCGGTGATTGGATCGCCGGCTCTCGCAACTCCAACCTCAAGCACACAGCAGGTTCCTCCTTCGCAAATACAGAGAAGCCAGGCGATGGAGGATCTGAAAAATCCGTTCTATTTCAGTTCAACTGAGAATCCGAACGCAATCCTTGTGAGTCCTCCACTTGTAGGCAGCTCGAATTACACTTCCTGGTGCATATCCATGATGATCGCCTTAGAGGTGAAGAACAAATGGTGTATTGTTGAAGGCAGCATTGCGACACCTAGCAGAGAGCACAACCAGTATCAGGCATGGAGGCGCTGCAATCTGATGTGTGTTCCTGGATTTTTAAGGAAGTGCATCCATCCATTGCTCAAAGTGTGATGCATCTAGACAAGGCAGGCGAAGTTGACTGTTGATGGATTGAACTTGTGCCAGAGGAAATACGCTCTCGACATTCTCAGTGATGCTGGCTTCATAGAATGTAAGCCTATCCGTACACCAATGGTACCAGGTTCCCATCTATCACGAGAGGATGGTAAGCCATTGGAGAACCCAAGAAGCTACCGTAGGCTGGTTGGAAGACTCATGTACCTAACAACAACCAGACCTGACATTGCCTATGTTGTTCATCATCTCAGCTAGTTTGTGAGCAGCCATACAGACATGCACATGGTTGCTGCTCACCGTGTGCTTCGTTACTTAAAAGGATCCCTTGGACAAGGATTGTTCTATCCTGAAACTAACACCCTTAGCCTTAAGGTTTTTTTTGACTCGGACTGGGCTTCTTGCCCTGAAACTCGTAGACCAGTCACTAGGTTCTGTGTAATTCTTGGGGATTCGTTATTCTCATGGCGTTCGAAGAAACAAGCTACGGTATCAAAATCCTCTTCCGAAGCGGAATACCGAGCACTAGCCCCCACTGCATGTGAATTACAATGGATAAACATCCTACTCCAAGACCTACATTTTGAGGTAACCAATCCGGCTATCATCTTTTGTGATAACAAATCCGCTATTGCAATATTTGAGAATTATGTCTTTCACGAAAGAACTAAGCACATCGAAATCGATTGCCATGTGGTAAGGGAAAGAGTTGCTCAAGGTTTGGTAAAATTGCTATCCGTTTCATCCCTCAATCAAGTTGCAGATGGTATGACTAAACCTCTAGCGAATCAGATGTTTGATAAGTTTGTATCTAAGCTGGGAGTACAGAATCTACATTCTCCAGCTTACGGGGAGGAGGGGGGGGGGGGGTAATAGAGGGGTAGTTTTGTAATTCAAAAAGGCTCTTGGATATTTGTTGTAACCTCCATCTATATTAGTTGGCTGTTTTCCCCTCATGCAATGTAACCATTCATTCTCTCCTTCTTTCTGTTCAAGCTTTCTCCATTTCTCGCTTCTTTTCCTTCAATCACGATATTCACCCTTTGTAACTTTAGTTGGTGGCCTTTTCTGACCACCCGTGGTTGGAAAATATACATGCACACTTTCTCACCCCAGGACCAATTCTTTCGACCACTTTACAATAGTGAACGGTAGTTCCGACCACTTCATGTGGTGGTCGGAAATAACGATGAAGAATTGTGCGGATACTGTGTGGATAGAAATGTAATAGGAAACAAAACTTTTGACCGAATAACGACAATTTCCGACTACTTTCCGATAGTCCAAAAATTGTTATATTTCCAGCCGTGTATGTTCAACAATAAGCTAAGGATCAAAGAGTAATGTAGTATTAATTTTCTTAGACTAATTAACACTTACCATATATGCATATATATGTATGTGTGTGTATACACACACTCATTATGTATAACCACACACATATTTTGTAATTGTACGTACTCCGTAGTTGCCAAGAGATTACTTCACTACTATTTATGTATTAGTACGACGGCGTGGAAGAGCTTTAACAGTCAGGGGCTTCGCCATTTCACAGGAAAGATTGAGGACCTCCGAGAGATCCACTGGCTTTTGATCGGAACCACCCCAATCAAACTCTTGCAGAAGAGAAGCCACCCAAAAGACGACGGTGGTCAAACCCAGAGTCTTCCCGGGGCAGCTCCGGCGGCCAGACCCAAACGGAGCCAGCCTCAGGTCAGACCCCATAACCGACACCTCCTCCGCCATTGTCATCTTCATGAACCTATCCGGCATAAATCTTAGTGGGTTAGCCCAGATATCTGGGTCCCTCGTGATGGCCCACATGTTCACCATGGCCGTGGTCCCAGCTGGCACGTGGTACCCATCCACGATTGTATCAGCGACGGCTAAACGGGCCCACGATAGAAGTGGACCTGGTGGGTGTAGTCTCAGCACTTCCTTCACCACTGCATGCAGGTACGGAAGCGATGCAACGTCGGATTCCGTCACCGTCCCTAACCTTCCGATGACGCCGGCGAGCTCCTCTTGTAGCTTCGTTTGGATTTCACGGTGAAGCACCAGCCTTGCCAGTATCCACTCTATCAACACTGCCACTGTATCAGTCCCTCTAAATATCATTTCCTGTGCCAAAGTTATAGAAAATTGAAGTGTAAACTTTAGTAACATAAATGTATTGAAATTGACGTTGCAACATGTATTATAATATAAGTGGGACAGAAAGAAAAGAATAGAGTAAATATTAAGGTGGGTAGGATCAAGAGTATATCATAAAAAATTATAGCTAGTAGCAAGGAGGACGGTGTAGGTTGCTAGATTTGGCCACTGGTCTCCGCCAGACAATTCCTTAGTCATCAATTGATGGATTTGGCCTTTACTGGCCTCAGTCCAACAATTTCTCGCACTTGCCGATCTTACCCTTCTTAGCACGTGCTAGTCCTAACTTCCCAGCACGGGCTCCCACTTGTTAGGATCAAATGTCTTTTGCTACATCAGAAAGTATAGCAAAGACTCAGCTTTATTTTTTTTTATACAATTACACAATTTTTGTAGAGGCAGTGTGGGTTAGACTTAACCCTTCACCCGCCGCTACCCAACAATCTTTTAAGGCCCTAAGAGCATCCAAATTAATTGTGGATTTTACACAATTTTTTAGGTGTCACCTGCACGCGGCAACTGCCAAAGCCTTTTGTTTTCCTTTATCAAATTATGAACCTCACAAAAATTTCTCTCTTAGGAAAAAGAATTGAGAAAAATCATGGTCTACATAGTTGAAAAACCAAGCTTTATTTTTAACTTCAGAAAAAAACTGCCAAAAATCTACAAATGTAGATGCTTTAACTACCAATTTATAGATTTGATCCTTTATTGACTCCGTCCAACCAGTACTACGTTAAGAATGTTAACAATGGCGGAATTGGAAGTTGAGTAACATATATACGTACCCAAAGAACGGATATCATATCAGAATTTGACAACTTCTGCGGTGCATTAAGAGACAGAAGAACATCAACGAAGTCATGGCTTTCCTCGCCTGAAAACTTGCGAGCTCTATGTTCCCATATAATACGAGAAACCAACCGGTTCACTTTGGGCACGAGCGCAGAGCATCTCCGCCGGACTTTCTGTACATCAAAGTTGGCGAGCCAAGGGAGGTGATCGGACCAGTTGAGCTGCGCAAGTATGCCATAGCCTTCTTGTACAAGCTCAATTACTTCCTCCACTTCATCGTACTTTCGCCCGAAAACCAAACACATCATACTGTTTAACGACGCTACTCTTAGGATGTCCCTGACCCGAAACTCACCGCCGTCGAGATTCGCAATTGCGGACACCATTTGGTCGGAGACCTCCCGCCTTCGAGTTTCAGATGCGCGGATTTGCCTCTGGGAGAAGAGATGATTATCCGCAATTTTCCTCAGCGTTCTCCAGTACACGCCGTAAGGGGCGAACCCCATAGCTCTGTCAAACATCAATCCATAAGCCGACTCTTTCACCGGACGATCTGCAAACGCCGAGCTATTCAGTATCTCTTTGGCAACGTGGGGATTGCACGTCACAATAACTCGAGTCTCCCCTAGGCTAAACGCCATTAGCCGTTTTGCTCCTTTCGCCTGAGCCACGGCGGCTAGTTTCCGGTGAGCAAGTCCGGCCATGAGGCTCATGCTTCCGATGACCGGAGCTCCCCGCGGCCCGGGAATATTTTTGTGGCCTTTGCCGCATCGGTTTTTGATGTAAAACAACCCCCACGCGTGGCCGCCGGGATATGCCCAGTAGAGCAGCGCCATGGCTACCCAGGCCAAGAACACAAAGAGGATAAAGAAGATAGAAGCATTGAAGATTTGTTGAGAAGATAATAAAAGCATGCATTTTGAAATGATAATTGAAACCCCCAAATTCTCAGTGGTGATTGTTTCCATGCTTGATCGTTATGTATGTGGAGTTTGAAGGCAATTATAATGGGTTTATACAGAAGTTACGTTGAATATGGGGATGGATATTTTATATATATATATATATTCCTCAAAATATAATGTCATGATGATGAACAAGTAACGTGTGAAATTCAACTAGCATTTTGTTACACTATAATGGGATACTCATTCAGGACAGAATTGAAGTCTCCTACTTTGTCATTTTGTTTAGTTGGTTTGCAAATTGAAATTGTTGTGTGATGCGAGGACTGAGGAGGAACACACAAGTGCTGGGGGGAATAAAAGGATAGAGTACGAGGATTAGAATGAAGTCAGTAGTCACAAATATTCATATCTACTAAGTACGATTCTGGAGGTCCACGCGGACCACACACGCACACTCATGCGTGCAGTGAGATAACTACATATTTTAATTATGAAAAAATATGGTTTTAATCCACTAATATGTCTCAACTCACTCTATAAATTATTAATTGAGTTAATACCCAAAATCGTCCTCGATTATAGTGGTTTTTCTCAATTTCGTCCTAAATGACTTTGATGACCTAATATCGTCCCAGACTTTTGTGTTTCGCTCAATTTAGTCCCAGACTTTTGTGTTTTTGCTCAATTTAGTCCCTCATTTGTTATTATGTCTATTTAGTGTTAAATAAATAGACAGTTCAGTAATTTTAATATTGGTATCTCTTTACTCATAGACATGTGAACTGCGAAATCCTTTTTTTTTACGAATTACTCCCAGAATTACTCCTAAAATTGCGAAGGTAAAATTTGATTTGCAGGTCCGGGAGTAATTCTGGGTGTAATTCGTACAAGAAAGAGGAATTTCGCACTTCACAAGTTGAAAGTAAAGAGAGATCAATATTGACATTACTGAATTGTCGCTTAATTTAACACCAATTTGACGGAATAACAAATGGAGGACTAAATTGAGCGAAACACAAAAGTCTGGGACGATATTAGGTCACCAAAGTTGTTTAAGACGAAATTGAGAAAAACCACTATAGTCGAGGACGATTTTGGGTATTAACTCATTATTAATTTATACAATTTTTATTATTTAATTATGTTTAAATTATTGTTTTTTTTTTGAGATAAAAGGCTTAATTCTTTTTTTTTTTTTTGAAAGTAGATAAAATGCTTAATTCATTAAATCAGAAGTAAGAGAATCGACAAGACAATGGGGTGGTATGTCAAACCATTCCCCACAACCTGACACAGAAACGGCTTCCCTTGCAATAGTGTGGGCAGCACGATTCGCAGATCACTTACCACAGGAGAAATCAACACCATGAATACTGGATGCTAATTCCTTTAAATCATCAATAACCAAACCGAACGCAGAAATATAAGAGTCTGAATTTAACGCATAAAAAACTAACTGTGAATCGGTCTCAACATCTACATCTCCTAGACCTGCTCCCTTCATCCATGTTAGAGCTTCACGGATACAAATGGCTTCAGCTTCCCTCACCGTGTATTTCCTCATGAGCCGAACCGCTTTCGCCCCTAGAAAGACCCCCCCCCCCCCCATCATCACGCAAAACCCAACCGAGCCCCATGGAATTACTTGCATCATTAAAAGCAGCATCGGTATTCAACTTCAACCTTCCTGGTCGTGGCCTTCTCCAAACTTCCCGGTCCCTTCCCATGCTGGCGGACTCCTCATCCATCTCATTCGCGTAGCGCCATGAATGCAATAAAGAGATAAATCTTTGGACCATATTAACTCGCGCGAATGGGATATTGCTCCACACTTTCGCATTCCTACTCAACCACAATCCCCAACAATGCATGACAAAGTGGCTACGCATAGTCTCATCCAAAACAGTAAGGTAATGAAAGAACCAGTCAACCACATTACCTTGTTGTAAACTACTCGCCGGCAAACGAAACCCTTCGTATACTCGCACTGCCTCCCCACACGACACAAACAGATGGTAGGCGGTCTTTCCTCCTGACCGCACATATGGCATGATAAATTGCTATGAACTCTTCGTCTATTTAGCGCATCACACGTAGGCAGATAAGAAGACGCTAACTACCAGCTAAATAACTTCACCTTCGGGGGTACTTGTAGGCCCCAAATCCTCCACCAAGGTCGGTCATCATAAACTTCTCCGACCAACATTCTGTAACAAGATTTCACGGTATAATTACCCTTAGAATCCCAGTACCAAGACCAAGAATCTGGGGGCTTACGCATGCTTATGGAATATTAAGAATGTACCTTGCATCACGATCATTAAAGATGTCCCGAACACAACCCTCATCCCAACCAGTTTGCTGAGTATTAAAAAGAGATGAGACAGGTGACCCTTTAATACTGTCCGGTAGGGTGGTAGTAATATAAGGCTCCTCATCAACTAGCAGCCACAGATCATAGCCAATAGCCGTACTGAGCCCATCACCAATGCATCGTTACAAGAAGTAGCTTCAAGAAAGGAGCACTGTGGGAAATACCTACTTTTATAGACCCGAGCTAGCAGCGAATTTGGCCTTGAGATAAGCCACCATGCTTGCTTCCCCAACAAAGCCAAATTCATCTCCCTCAACAGACGAAAACCCAACCCTCCTTTACTCTTTGGAACACACAGACCATTCCAAGCCCGCCACTGCATCCCTTTTCCACGCCCTATTACTCCCATCCACCATACTCATTGAGAGCAGTCTCAATTTCCTTGCAAACACCAACTGGCAGTAAGAAAACCATCATAGCATAACATGGGAGAGCTTGTAACACATTCTTTAACAATACCTCACGGCTTGCTAGAGATAAGAATTTCAAATTCCAGCTTCTAACACGGCTCAGTATCTTGTCCTTGAGAAAACCAAACACGGCCTTCTTATTCCAACCCACTAGCGAGGGGAGTCCCAGGTATTTTCCACGTGTTTCCCCTTGACTCACCCCAAGGATATGAACAACTTCATTGCGGGTTTGCTGGGGCACATTTGCACTAAAACACACCAAGGACTTGTCAAAATTAATTCTTTGCCCCGAAGCAGTAGAATACATATCCAAAACACCTTTCATCTGCTCACTCTCCTCCTTATTCACACGCAAAAAAAGGAAGCAATCGTCCGCGAATAGAAGGTGGGATATCGACGGTGCCCCCCACGCAACGGTGATACCATGCATGTCTCCTCTTCTCATCTTATGCTCAATTAGTGCACTTAGCCCTTCTGCCACTAATAAAAACAGGTATGGTGAAAGTGGATCACCCTGCCGCAGACCCCTACTCGTGCAAATTGGCCCTAACTTGCGTTGCTCGTATAGTATATGATAATTCACCAAGCTTACAGTCTCCATCAAGATATTGACCCATCTTAAATCAAACCCCACTTTAAGCATAACTGCTTTAAGGAATCTCCACTCAACACGGTCATATGCTTTACTCATGTCAACCTTCAACGCAGCGACCCCTACTTTCCCTTGAGTTTTTTGTTTGAGGTAATGATGTGCCTCATAGGCAAGCATGACATTATCCGAGATTAACCGCCCAGGCACAAACGCACCCTGAGCATCGCATATAATCCCATTTAATAGAGGCTTCATACGATTAGCACACACCTTAGCAGCTATTTTATACAACACATTACAAAGTGCAATGGGCCGTAAGTCCTTCATTGTTTCCGGATTCCCTTTCTTTGGTATCACACAATCAAACTTTCATTAGCACGAGCCGGTAGTTGACCTGTATCAATGAAACTTCTGCAAAATTGCATCACATCAGCCCCGACTATCTCCCAGAAATACTAATAAAATCCCGATCCAAAACCATCGGGCCCCGGTGATTTATCGTGATGCATTTGAAAGGCCGCCACTCGCACCTCTTTTACACTAACCGGTCGAACTAACCTCGCATTTTCCTCCGGCTTCACATATTGCCGCATGCAGGCAATAACTTCATTCATTTCCCCATCCTCAGCCGTAAACACCTCCCTGAAATAGTCAACCATTATTCCGCCAATCTCCTCTTCACTCTCAATCTATTCACCATGCTCATTTTTCAGTTTCCTTACTGCATTACGCCTCTGTCGTGCCTTTACACTGTTATGAAAAAACTTAGTATTTTGATCATCCCCCCGCCACCAGTGCTCCTTGGCTCTTTGTTTCCAATACAAATGCTGTTGTTCCAACAAGATTAGGAGCTCCTTCTCTACACGTTCATACTCGGCACAACCATCACCATCCGTTCTCGCACGCAGGCTTTCCAGCTTTAGCTTACAGGCATCAATTCTCTTCAAAAAGTCTTTGTTATAATTCCGGCCCCAGACCCATATATCACGGCTACACGCAACAATACGATCCAAGACGTCCAATCCCATAGTTTTATCCCAGCTTTGCTGCACAATTTCCTTACAAATATCTTCCCCCAACCACATATTATCGAAACAAAACCTTCACCGTCTTGGTGTTTCCTGGACTACCACAGGGGTAACCACGAGAGGAAGGTGGTCACTGTAAGGTACAGTAACAGATTGAGCCACAGCCCCTTCATGCAACAATAACCACGACTCCGTTGTGAGTATTCGGTCTAACTTCTCCTCAATCATATTAGGAGTGCCACGAGACTTCACCCAAGTAAACTGATTTCCTGCAAAAGGGAAGTCCTGCAACCCACAATCCTCTACCACTGTCTGGAATCCCTAGAGAAGCCATTCAGGATGACTCGTCCTCCCCTTTTTATCTGTTTGGTGTAGTAAATCATTGAAATCTCCCATTATCAGCCATGGTAGGGTACTCAACCCAGCTAGGGTACGAAGCATGTTCCACGACTCTTTGCGTCTATTTCTCTCCAGGAAGCCATAAAACCCTGTAAACCTCCACTTCGGACAGCCAACATCCAAGGTTACAAAAGCGTCTATATGGTTGTTCGAATAACTAGTTACTTCCACTTCCACTTATAAATTTTGTTAAAATTAAAAATTTATTTTAATTTTTCAAATTTTTAGAGGACAAATTGTTCATTTTTGTAAAATTTTCTCAAGTATTATAAGAAAATAAGCTTTTCACATTAATGATTTCAAGTGAATGTTAGATTTGTTGTACTGTTGATTACATGAAAATATGATATGAATTTTTCTTATTATTGAATAATAAATTTAGTTCTTAAATATTTAATGCATGTATAAATAACTTTTAGATTTTTAATCATGTTTCGATTTTGAGCTTCTCATAATGAATAATTAGAAAGTAAATTTTTTTTTTGTCTATAATTTAAGTATTAATATTGCAATGCGAAATGATTAAAATCGCAATGATAAAAATGGTAAAAATTATGCTCTTGATAAAATAGTTAACAACCGATTTAGATTATTAAAAGGAATCGAGAATGAATTGGATTCAAATTTTATGAAAAAAATTACTTGAAATATTAATTATTCCGTATATTATTTATTGGTACAAAATAAATTATTGATTTTTTTTTTGAAAATAAAGAGGCTCATTCATTTAATTATAAGCTGAAACGATTATAAATATAGGATCCATGGAACGGTATATCATTCCTTACAGTTAGACATAGAAACAATTTTTTCCTAGCAATGCTACAAAGAACTTAATTCGCTGACTGTTTCACAAATATGAAGCTGAATTCGTTGGATGAACTAATGCTTCTTTAATATCATTGAAAAATTGATCAAACGTAGTCAAGACTGACTTTGTTTGAAAAGTCTTGCTCACCACCTGAGTATCTATTTTCAATCTTCCATTCATTGACAATAATATATCCATCGAGCTAAACTGCAGATGCTCTTTTTCATTGTCATCTTTGTCACCTAGGATGACGTTCACATACACCATAACCAACTTTTATATTTCACACTTATGAAGAAGAGAACTCGCCAAAAGAAATGAGGGAAACAAACTTGTCACACAAACGAGAGAAACACAGAAAAACATAACAAATACAGAACACAAAAGAAAAGGGAAGCAGTAGCACACCTCCTCATGAACTTTATTTTACGAATTCACTAAAATCAAACCACCTCTTTATCTAGATTTGGCAGAATCCTTGAGCTTTGGAACTTTGGAACTTCCGCAACTTCCTTGAAGGGTTGGTGGCTGAATCGACAGTGGAAGTTATGAAACTAAATAAAACAAAAACAAAGGAAAATAGGAGGTTGCCGATTAAGGACATCGCCGACACGAAGCTCCGTCAAAGCTTAGGCTAGATCTGGCCAGAGGCCGGCGGCCACACAAAGAAAAATGCTCAAAAAGAAATAAGGTTTCGAGAGACAGAAGAGAGGAGGTTTCGAGAGACAGAAGAGAGGTTTCGATGAGCTGAGGTAGATAAATTATTGAAAATAATTAGTATAAAGACTCAATTGCTCTTACATAATAAAGATATGTGAATGTAATATAGAAATTCATATTATATATTTTCTCAAAGTGTGAAAAGTAAAAAATACAAAGAGACTTGTTTCGACTTGTTTTTTTGGCTTTCTCTTCAACAAGACTGGTCGGATTTTCCTTTGGCTTCGCATAAGTGTATCACGATTTGTTCAACGGTGGTTCCTGCGATAAACAATGGAGGTGAAGTGGCAGACAGATGTTCTGAGATCGTATTCGAGGAGGAGCGGGTGGGCATATAACCATTTACGGTGACGACGTCAAATGTTGAGAAAATCGATCAGACTCCAACATGGTTAGTTGTTGGACGTTTTCTTATGGATAAACACATCAAGTTTGACGCCATGTAAAACATGATGGCTTTGGTGTTGCGGTCGATAAGTGGGGTGCATGTCTTGGTTATTCATGAGAATCTCTTCGTCTTTGTCTTTTTTTTTTCTTGAGTTGAACGCCCGTCAGGTACTGGAGGAAGGGCCTTGGTCGTTTGAGAATAGTTCCATGGCATGAAATATGGTTGCTCCAGATAAGATTTTGGTGTAAGTTACACTTATTTTTCTCCCTATTAGGGTTCAATTGTATGATCTGCTTGTCGGTTACATCACTAATGTTGTGCTAGAATTGATTAGTAATTTTGTGGCATCATTCGTAGCTTTGGATTCGATAAACGCCGGGGCTGGGTGGCGAGCCTTCCATCGAGTGCAATTTTTTCTTGAGGTTTCCAAGTCAATAGGTTTGGGTGAATTTCAAGTACGAAAGACTACACATGTTTTATTTTTTCTATATAAAAGCACGTACGTCTTAAGCAACCCCGTAAACCTACCCGTATGGAGCGTGGCTCTATTCGGGGTTGGGGAGAGGCGTGAATGTTGTTAGGGCGCGATGGTTGGTGCATCTAAGGAAGGAGTTTAAGGTGCTTGGCGAGGTGAGCGAGAAAGCGAAAGGTGAGGGCCATGGTGGTAGGAGAAATTCAGGTTTAGTAGGGATGGTGGAGGGTTGGGCATTGGCGGCAGTGCCAAAGTGGATGAGGAGTGAGAAAGTGAATGGGGGTGTTGGAGGGGGTGATACGATGATGGGTGGAGTGGCACTTTATTTACCAGTGGGTTCTGGTGTCCAGACCTGCCCGCAATTGCCGTGGCTTGGGCAATCTACGAAAAGTTCACAAAATTTTAGGCCTTGTGTCCAGTAAGAAGCACGACATTGTGTTTTTTATGGAGACGAAGGTAGGGCCTACCCATGTTGAGCTACTGCGTGTGAGGCTTGCGTTTGATGGGGTGTTTTATGTAGAGCCGGTGGCGTTGAGTGGGGGGTTGGCGGTCATCTGGCAGTGTAGTAATATATATGGTCAGCCTTTTGAGCTATTCGAGAAGCCACGTTGACCTTTCCATAGCTCTGCTGGGGGTTCACACCTGGCGGCTGATGGGGTACTATGGTTTTTCCTGAACGGAGTAGGCGTAGGGAGGCGTGGGACTTTCTCAGGGCCCTTAAGACTATGCCTCCTGGTGAGCTGTCGTAGGCTCCCAAATTAAAACCTTACAAACGTAGTAGCGGGAGTAAGGATCGATCCCACGAGGAGTAACTAGTTTAACTTTTGTGCTCAAGGAAATAATGGGGGGTTTGGAAAATAACGAGAATAAAGATTAAGTAAAAGATATTTAAATAAACAAGAGATTAAATAAATCGAATAAAGCAATGAAACTAATATATTGAAAGCACTTATAATAGAAAACCTTGGTTAGTAAAGATCCACCACCGGAATTTAACACTGATCATTGATTAGTAAAGTAATTAATATGCAATTGAATATTTGTCGTGAAATTATTTCATTTCCGTTTTCCCTTAGTTATAGGTAACTAAAGCACACGCGGTTTAATTACCCCTAACTACTAAATAACCTAAGACAAGCGCTATAGATTTAATTTAATAGCAGCAATAGGAACTAGGAAAACCGATAAACTAAATAACACAAGCACAAGCGGTTGCATTTAACTTAGGAAAATATTCTACCCGAGTCCAATTATCACTAAGCCGTCAATAATTAACCCAGTTGCTACTGAATATTAGAATAATTTGTAGCACAACATTATCTAATATAGCAAATAATTATATCAAGTAAATAACTAGTAGGCCTCCCTAGCAATTAAATGATACAACTATTCAAATAACTTAGAAGAATATTTAATACCCAAATGCATAAAAATTATATAATAAAAATAAATAAATAATCTTACAGCATAATCAATTCCGGGGCTTCAATTCACTAAACCAAGCTAAAGAAATTAGCAATGAATGGACATTGATAACAACTTTACAGAATAATCGAGAGGGGAAGAATGAACGTATTACAATAGAAAAACTTCCACAATTGATACTAGTCCTAAAATATACTCAAATGAACGTCCACCGTCCAAATTCCATTTTTTTAGCGCTTCATGACGTGGTCTTCCGCTGCAATGCCGCAAGAATCGGTCGTGATGAACTCACTCCCTTAAGCTGCTGCGCCTACCTGTACGAAGGAATTGAAAAAATCAAATGTTAAATTTACTTTGTTTCCTTGGTAAGAGTTGGGCCACCACGTAGGACTATTATTATTATTATTATTATTATTATTATTATTATTATTATTATTATTATTATTATTATTATTATTATTATTATTATTATTATTATTATTATTACCACACTAATTAATTAAACTCTAAAAAATAAATAATTATTGTATAATAGTAAATAGTTAATGCAAAATTAGTATAAAGATGTATATAAAATATGAGGGTAAAATATTCCTATCACCTCCTCTTCAGGTGATTACATACTTTAATGATCTCTTGTCACAGGTACAGAAGATGGGAATGCACTCGCACCCAGAGAACTTGTTGCGGGGTTTTAGTGAGACGTTGGTGGAGTGTGGCTTGTTATTAGTTCCTACGATGGGCTACCTGCTCACCTGGGAATGGGGCAAATAGACAAGGGAGTCGTTGAAGGAAAGGTTGGATAGGGTAGTGGTGGAGGAGATATGGAGTCACTATTTTAG